GCTTGGCTATTTGTAAAAGAAGGTTCACCTTTTTGACACAAATATTCGATTGCATCGGCAACCCCACTACTCAACGTTTGTGCTGCAAGTTTGACCTTCATGACTGAATTTCTGTAATTAATATGTTGTGCAGTTAGCTTATTTGCAAATTTTAATCCTAATTCATTTTGAAAAGAGTTCAAGGAGCATAAATATGACCATTTTATATCACCATTTTTTGACTGAATAATTTGTTTGTCAGCTAATGAAGAACGAGCGAGCTTAAGCATGTGGCAAGTGTCAAACATGGAATATACTTCTATAGATTTATCTATAGTGAATTTTGTATTCAAGTTGTCTATATCAAAACTACAGCCCAACTTTTTAAAACATTGTATGTTAGCAGAAGCACCATCACACGTTACATTCCAGACCTGAATGCCTACCTCATGCAGTTTTACAATAGCTGTAGATAATAATGTACTTAATACACTACTATTTATCTTATTCACATAAAAAAAAGCAATTGGGCATTTAAACTGTTTAGTTAAGCAAACAACCATAATAACTAAAACTTCAGTAGCAAGCTCTGTACTTTCACCAACACCAAATTCTACATTTCCAGCATATTTGCCTTTATCAGGTTCCCAAATTAGTTGTTTTCTGATCGACATAGAATCAAAAACCAACGAACAGTCTTGTAACCAAGTCTTTTGAGTTATTTCAAGTTTTAAAAATTTGAAGACTCCTTCCAAAAACCCAGGCTCACATTCCATAGTGCTCATCCAGCTTCGAATGGTTGAATGATGAGGAAGTCTAAAATGTGTGCGTACATACTTATAAGCTCTAGGAGAATAGAAGAAAAGCATTTTAGCAAACTCTTTCATAGAATCACTATAGCGTACGGCATTTTTTCCAATTTTTTTAGTTTTGCGTTCATGCAGTAATAAAGCTAACGGTATCCCACCAAAATGTTCTTCAAGCTGAGTCGTCACATCATCTGACATTGGGACATTTTTCTTAATGCGCATAACAAGACCTGTAACAGTGTTAAACACAAATACATTTTACAAATTCAATATTGTATTAGAAACAATTATGTTAATTAAATTACTTTTTAATGATTTTATTTTTGTTTCTCTTCGCTTAAGGCGTTGTTGTAATACTTTTACTTTTTTTCTCAAAATTGCCTTTGTTGGAGATTGTATGGAACACTGAACACTTTTACTATTATTTTCAACACTTTCTGAACTCTGTAATTAATAATTATGATTGCTAAACATATTTAAATATTTCATAACAAATTTAAATTACCTTAGTTAGATCCATATATGGTACCATATTTGCACTGGAACATTCTATATCGACCGTATCGACAGATATATCACAATTATTGTCAACCTAAATTAATAAATAATAAAATTACCGAATCAGTCTTATATTTTCAACTTTTTTGTTTGTTTGAAGCAGTAGAGTTTATAAAAGTTGCATATCTAGATATTTGTATATGTCACTGGGTAAAAGTGTATGTCTTAAAATTAGATAATGTACAGAGAAACAAACTTTGTAGGTAGGTAAACCTATATACACAATTTGTATATAACAGCATTTAATGTTGTTAAAAATATAGTGGCAACATTTGTCACTATGTAGTCTGCAGGACCTAAGTATATTGCATACTATTAATTAAAAATAGGTAACAACAATTTCTGAAATTAGTAAATGATGAAGATTATATGATGTAAAATTATTAAACTTACCAATGGGTTTCTTTGTAACAACCGGCGAACAACTTTTTTCTTCTGTAAATGTTGAGGAAACTCTTTAAATACAGATGGAACAGCATCATCTTTTAACCATTTCACATTTGCTCCTGGACGGATTTGGTAGTCTTCATTTGTAAAGTGTTCGCTGCATAAATAGCTATACTCAGAAGGTTTGAAGTTTTTGCGTTTCATTTCATGTATCCACTTTGCCAAAACGGATGGCCTCTTTAGAGGAAAGCTAAGCCAGGTAAACAAAATATACTCATCAGACAGTAACGTTTATCTTGTATAATATTAAGGCTATTTGCCTATTTATATTAGAATAATTGGAACAAAAATGACTAAAGGTACCTATGTTTTTACATACCGGTGAAATTGTATACCACATCCTTTTTTTCGCCGGTTTGTACACCCATATGAGGAACACGAAATTACCATGATTAAATAAGTTTGATTGAATTTACAATTAAGCAGGAATTTAACCAGTAAACAGAATTTGACGCCATGAAATAATCGAAATTGCGCAACGGCGTAACGCACTGGCTTGTGCCATCCAGTCCTTTTGCCATGCAATGGTGGGGGAAGCGAATCAACGAGCCGGCTCGTTTTTTGACGACTCGTGCGCGCTCCAGTGTAGTATATACATCTCGATGTTTATATATTATGATAACATAATATTGGAGGGTAAACAGTTAGTTAGTAGAGTGTAGTCAATATATGTGTGAAGTTATGTACTTAGTTGAGGTAATTTCTGATCTATAGGCTTTAACGATAATGGATGAAACTTTGAGATGTAATTTTTAATAAGTGCATGTAATAATAAGCTATTGAATGCTTATTAAAATACACAGGGTTATGTTTCTAGCTATTAGCCTTAAATAATAATATCAGTTCAAGTTCAGATATATATAATTTGGAGGCAATTTATAAACAAAGATTTAAGTTACAATAAATTATGCATGATGTACTCACAGTGCCAGTTAAAGAAGAAATATAGGTAGTTTAGGTACCTATTTTAGATTCTCAGTGAAGCGATGTTTGTATTCATTTTACAAAGTGTTTTTAATTATTTTATTTTATTTTTGTGTCCTCCCATTTTGGTACGGATTTCTACTTCAGCATCGTTTCTGGTATTAAAGAGAATATAGTTGGTACTTGGGTGGGTCAAAAGTAAAAAACTCCCAGAACTTTTCAAAAGCATAAAGAATCACAAATCAACAATCAAGGAAAACCACAGAAAAATAAACTTAGATACATGAAAATGTTCAAAGTATTTTGGATTTTTTTTTAACTATTTAATATTTATAATTACAAAACCATGAGAAATGTTGTCATAATATAAAATCAAATCTATGGTAGATTGTTATGGTACTTAAAACCATAGGTATAGTAAATTTATAATTTTTAATCACATTATATCATCATTAATAATGTAATATTCTATCCTTTGGCAATATTGATATTTATACATTATTAGAGGCATTTAACTATGTATATATAGAATTAATTATTTAAAAAATTTAATACTTAATACTTAATAGTATAATAATATAAACAATTTGATAGGTACTCTTCTTCGGTATTACAGTATAAAAGGAAAACTATTATCTAAAGTATAACACCAAGTTATTCTTTTTATTATTTGTTTTTATGACACCTCCGAAATTGATGGATGCCCTTGAGCCCTTTTTCCCTCACCACTAGAATGGCTATGATTATATTGTAAATAAAAAATTTGGTATTAAGCCAATTAAGGTGTAAAACTTTAGTACCTAAATTAAATACCTGTTATGTTTACAATTTTCACATAATTGCACACACTACAATAGAATTTTATTTAGTATTTTGTGTCATAGAGTTACCTACAATGTCCCATAATGAATCACATCCAATCGTCAGCTCACTGAACTTCCAAACTTGTTATGACGCGTTCTTTGAAATTTAAATATGTTCAGATCCTCCGTGCTATTAAAATTGAATACTGGTTCTGCAATATATTACCTACAAATTAAAAGTTTGTTAAAACTATGTCAGAGAACTATTTGTTTTCTCTCTAACCAAGGAGAAAATAGCAAATTTGAGCAAAGCAGATCTAATTTTGTAATGATAGCTTTAATGAATATAGGGTAAAAATATTTTCTATGGAACCTAACATGTATATTTATTTTATTTTTAAAGCAAGTTATGGTGTTTTAAGTTTGTACCTAACATAATTTTTTTAACATGGGTAGTTGTTTAATATTTATCAAGTCTTAATTGGCTGAGCGTTTCGAACACAAATATAATTCCACAAACACAATTAAATATATTATAATATAACTATGTAACATTATAACATAATATCAGACAACATAATGTAATCATAGTGTCATACAGATAATTCACATTTAAATTGATAAATTAATAAAATCCCATGAGGTGACCACAATAATATTCTTACCTTTAAGTTAGTAGGTACCTAATTATCCACTTTGATATTAATGTTTTTATAACTTCAATTGCAATATTTATAGTGTATACTTGGACGGTAGAATTGTCATAAACAAAATAAATTTTTCAAAAATGTTCAATACATTGGCTCGACTTCCTAGTTCCTCGTAGATGCTTACATCGAATTATTATATTTCAGTTTTGAAAACCACAGTATAGTACATTGCGTTAACTAAAAACAGTAACAACAAATTATTAAGTTACTTTTAGCAAATATCTAAAATTTTAGAAACCTCAGACAACAACTTACTTACGTGTGTCGTGCAGTAAGAACTATGAGACACGAGTTAGACATTACAAAACGTCTGTAAACTTATGGAAAAAGTTTAAAACTTTTAACTAACCACTAATCGGTAATGACGAGTGGAAGATAGCAATATTGACCCAGCCATTGATAAGAACGTGTATAATGGGTTGCCTATATAATACTAAACCTTGCCACAAACATAATTCAAAACTCACATCAATAGTACAACCACATAGATGGCGCTGTATTATACAAAATAATATTATAAGATATAAAATATTAATAATATTATAAGATATTAAATCAGGGGCGGACTGGGAATACTTCAGCCCAGGCGGAGAAGAATATGAGCGGCCCAACATTTTTTTTTACATCGTCAATGAAAATGTTCAGTTGTCTTTATAATACCTATTTACTTAGTTTAATAAGTTCTAAAATTCTGAAATAATAGTAATATAAGTAAATCATGTTACAGGAGAAAAAAGTTTATTAAACATAAATCATAATGTAATTAAAATTTATGTAAACATATTTAGCATTAAAGTTGATGTACTTTTAAGGTAATTAATAATATCAGATACTTCTACATCTTCTAACAGCTGTTTTTCAATTGACATAATTAGTAATGCTTCTAAATGTTCTGAGCTTAAATTAGAACGAAGACGATTTTTTGTAATTTTAAGTTTACTGAATGTCCGTTCACAATTCACTTGTGTTACAGATAAAGTTAAAAAAAATTCATAAGCTTCACAAAGATAACTATAAGATGAAACATGTAAATTTAATGAATATAATACTTTGTACACACAGTTTAAGCAATTTTTCGGATCATGATCGATACTTAAAGAACACTTCTTCTCCTGGTAGAAATCATTACCTACAACAATTTCAAGTATTACAAGCATAAATAATTCATTAATACAATTTAGGAAAATATTTTTAAGTTATTATTAAACATACCAATTAATTCAAGAGTATTGTCTTCTAATATATCAGAAAATTCATTAATTGATTCTTCATTATTATCATCATATACTGAAACATATTGCTCTTGATACATTGTCTGAGTGCGTTCTTTAATTGATGTAGATATTTTTGGAAAAACTGCAACAAAACTCTTTAACTCTGAATGAAGTTTATCTTTTGGAATGTTTGACACTTCAGATAAATATGTTAAAGCTATGTTTGGCATACTAACAACCAAATCAAAATTTTTTGGAATAAAATACTGAATATCAGCTATTAACTGACTGTTGGCAGAAAATCTTTGATTTAAACTACTTATTATTTGGTCTATAATTTCTACATATGTTCCAACTCTAAACTTATCAATAGGAACAGACAAAACTTCGTCTGAACATTGTTCATCGAAAAATGATTTTTTTTTGCTAATTCTTGAAGTTGGAAATGTATTGCTGATATTAATTTCATCAGGAAAATTTAAAGTACACAGTTTTTCATTCATTTGTTTAATGAATTCTTGGGATTCCTTATAAATAGTTTCAAATTTTAATTTAGTAATTTCTGATTTAGTCACTTCTGCCATATCCCATGCAGTCAACAGATCCATGTTTTTAGTCTGCAAATATCTTGAAGTTGGTCCAATTATTTGAAAAATTTTCATAAAAATATGAGCAGTCAGTATTAATTTAAAACTACACAGTTTTTCAATTAAAGATGATGCCTCAGAAGTCATTTTGTCAATTGTCATTTCCAACAATAAGTAGCTCAGCAGCTCGTCTTATACGGCACTTTTCAGCACCACCTTTAATTTTCTTCATTTTAAAAGTAATTTTTTTAAATGTAACAAAAAAAATAAAAATAAATAATTGTAAAATTGAATCGATACTTGATAGAATGATAGCACAGATTGCGAATGACGATTGGGAATCGTGATTACTGAGTACTGACCGAGACCAATTAATACGTCCCCACAACAACAGAACAACCGTATTTACTTTTGGTTATTATCTATTAATAGCACAGTTACTATTATACAGCCGTTGCTAGCTTATCTCTGATAACTCATTATCGCAGGGTATCCAAACCGGTGTGCCGCGAGGCCCATCTGGGTGTGCCGATAAATTTCACGACTATTAATAAACGTTTACGTAAAATTTCGGTAACTGGTTAAAATAGTTTTAACGATTCTCTTATCGGGGATACTGTTCACTATTTGACTATTATTGTTTCGATACACATTTTACGCTACCAACTCTGTACCAATTCTGTCATATTATACTCTTGTATTATTATTTATTTTGTATACAACAGCTATGAAGTCGTCGACTTATAAAATCAAAAATTATTCCATCATATTATTGCAGTACAAATTATTAATAATCCTACTTTCTTATCGGCCCGTGCGCGCCGGCGGCCCGGGTGGACTTTTCCGCCTCTCCGCCCGGGCCAGTC